ATAGATGTGGTTTTTTCTCTTAAGTCTAGCTTCCTCACTCTGTACTAAAGCATAAAATACCATATGAAAGAATGGGGTTCACATCAACCTGAGGACCCTAAAGAGTTGTTCAACCTCTATCATGCCTCGCTTAGGAATATAGTTGAACGAATTTTTGGGGTCCTCAAGAAACTCTTCCCACTCTTGGTTTTTGAGCAACATTACCCATTCAAAACACAAGTCAAGCTTATCCCAGCATGCTACACATTACATAACCATGTAATGGGAGTGAACCCATATGATTGAATCATGTCTCAATATGATAATGAGGAAGCTCAAGTGTGACATTTTAGTACTCTACAATTTTGGAAATATACACTTAAGTATAACTTCGTTCAACTAGTGCTACAATGAAGGTGAAAATTACTAAAATGCCTATGTTCAAATTCTCCTTTTTATTGTTCCTCTTCTAATACATTTGGATGCAATCTAGTGATGAATGAAAGGAACACCAATTCACAAAATAACAAAGCAACTAATAAATTCTGCACCTAAACAAAAACATCTGAAAAACAAAGCTTACMACGTGTCAATAAAACACTGGTTAATGACCAAGTGGAAGTGCAGGGCGATCAATCCATATGACAGTTGCCCCCCCTCATCTGAGCAGAATCTGTTACATAACAATTTGTCGCTGCTTAGGGTTAATTTGGTCATTGGAAAAATTAATGGCTTAATTGGACAATTTGGTCACTAACAAATTAACAATATTAACAACGGAAAATTTCTTAAACTACCCTTACTATTTAACTAATTGACAAACTGTACCTTACTGTTTAACTATTATCTTATAATACCCCTATATATTTTTGACAATTGACTAGTTCTACCCCTACGTTAGCACTCCTTGATATTTTGTCAAAATCCATACACACGTGACACCAAATATAATTTTTTTATTTTTTTAAATCTAATTCTACCCTCCATCCCTCTCGACACCTAACTAGTGGCGGCGATCTCTTCCTACTCCGACCTCTCTCTCCTCTTTCTCATCAATTCTTTGTCTCTGACTGAACTTCTAATCGATGCCCCTGTTTTTCTATTACCAGAACTACTTTGAAAGTCATTTTCCCGCGAGTTCATTGAGCTTCTTTTTCGGTTCACCATCAGGAGAACAAGGGAATTGCAGCGGCGGCACTCTCCTCTTAATCCAACTTGAATCTGGCAGACGGAGCCCCATTTTCAATGACCCTATTGGTAGGTTCCACCTATCACATACGACATGAATTAACCAAGTGATTCCATGATTGGGAGACAAAAATCTTCTCCGTTGCTGCACGACAGTGGAGAAGAGGGCTCTGATAGTAGAGAACGAGGTCGGCGATACAAGTGACTTAAACAGTGGGTTGGTGGAACCATGGGCCACCGCCCAAACTATGGTGGCGATACATGAATGGACCGAGCGGCGGTGGGACGGCGACCAAATGATGGTAGAGAACGAGGGCTCTAACCTTGCTATGCTGTCATGGTTCGAATCGGTCCCAGACTTCCTTCCACCGTCACATTCACCACCACCTTTGCTTCCTCATTGTATCTCTGCATTTTCACCACCCCCAAATTTAGTCGAAATCGAAGTTTAGTCGGAATTCAAATACAAACATAAGAAATTATATTTTGTGAATATAGAAATGAATGGAAGAGGTTTGACTCACTATACCTCGATATTATGAGAAGAGGGAGACAAAGATATAAGTGGAGACGATGCAACTGTGAACACGTCCATACATGTCTAGAGGCGATATAGTAGAACATCAGATTTCAAAGTACTATGATTTTCGTTGTCGCTCAAGGCCAATCCGATGGTGTAAAGGATTGGTTCAGAGGAGCATCTCTCCAGAACATTGGTGGGCTTTGATGGTTTTGAGCGGAAAGGCATCGAAGTTCACCGACGAGGCGGTGGAATAGGTTGTGGTAGAGGTCTAGTTTTTGGGGCTTTTTCCAAAATTCATCTCCCCAAACTTCTTTCTAACAGGTAAAGAGAGAGTGGGAATGAGTTCTTAGAGAGAGAGAGAGAGGAAAGAGGAAGGAAGTTGCTTTAGTTCGGGAGTTGGAGGGGAGAGAAGAGGAGGGAAGGGGTGGTTGCTTGGAGACTTACTCTTCATTGTAGCGTTGGTTTGCCTTTGTTGCGTGGGAATGCTGTCAGTCGTTCTTCATGAATCCTTCATTTTCCTTGTTTGGAGACTTTTTCTTTCTCCTTTTTTTTTATATCTTATTGTAAAAATTTGAAAGAAAATAATGGGTAAAATAGTTTTTTTTGCTATTCCATTAAAGGTATTAATGTTTTGGAGGTTTTAGACAATTGTCAAAAAATTTAGGGGTACTATAAGATAATGGGAAAATTCCCGATAGGTACCTATACTTTATGCCGAATATCAATTTAGTACTCGAACTTTCATTTTGCGACAATTTAATACCTGACGTTAACTCATCGTCAATTAGAAGACAAAAAGACTTAAATACCCTTCAACTATTTCGAGTAATGCATGAATTCTCTATTGAAATTACAAAAATGATCCCATTAGCTATTTCAACCTATGCAAGTGGGAACTACTATTCATACTTGTAGTTACTGAGATTGGGTCCAAATCCAGACCGTCCAAATCTAAGCAGTGGGTCCCATCCTTGAGAGTTGAATTGGGTAAGATTCTTTCCTAATGGTTTGATCTGATGTAAGCCCATATTTGAGATTTTCAGTTGGGATGATGTTAATGATTCTACTTGAAACTTCGGAGGTCAAAACTCAAAAACACAGAGAGGTTTTGCAGAATCTGTGGATTTCTCATACCAGCCTAAAACCACTTGCCTTTCCTCTGCAGGAGCCCGTCGGGCTTCTTCTTGCCAATGCCGGAGGGGTCGTTGCCTTTAGAGCCACCGTCGTTGCCGATGTAGAAGATCACCATGATGAGAAGCCTCACCATGTGCTGTGCCGGAATGTTGAATGTGTGATATTTCTCTAGATTTCACAGGAGGAGAGGGATTATTGAGAGAAGAGAGAGAGAGAGAGAGGCGAGTGCCATCACTGTTCACCGAAGGAGTCGATGAATCATGATGAATGGATGGCAAGGTTTAGACTAGAGGAAGGAGAAGAAGGTGAAGATGGGAAGTGGGGAAAGAAATACCGGGAAAGATGATGAAGAAAACCGACGAAACCTGATGTAGTGGAGAGCAAACTCGCCACCTCCTCCGATGATCTGGGCGAAAATGGCAAATTGGCAATGAACATTATGAATTTTGGAAGTCATCATGGCAGTGAAAATGCTAAATTGGCAGCCCAAGTAATCTCAACTGGTATCATCTCTGATCTCTCGTCTCTCACTCTATGCAACGCAACTCTTATAATTTGAAAAGAAACCATCTCTCTCAGATCTCTCATGGCGTCTGCAACTTCTTCTATGGAAGACACAATGGATGATGTTGGCCTTGGTAGTGCCAAGGAAAATGCTAAATTCAACCCCTCATCGACGCTGTAGACCAGTTGTGCCACCTCAATGTCATGAAAGAAGGCATTGAGCTCCCCACCATTGTCGTTATCGGTGACTAGCTCAAGTGCATGAAGAATAGCTCCTCGGGGGTGTTTGTTCTTCAACTGCACCGCTTGACCATCTTTCATCAGTGAATCTAGAGAGATAGAGAAGCTAGAAAACAGAGGGTGGAGGAGCTGGATTTAGGAGAGTTACAAATATTTTGGGAAGAGGTACGACTTGCAAGGTTGTGGAGAACCAGAGCTTGTTGGACACAATGGACTCTCTCGGACCTCCGGCAGATGGGAGAACCAGAGCTTTGCTAATGATTTGCTAATAATAGAGGTACGACTTGCAAGGTTGTGGAGAACTAGAGATGCTTAGAATTGAGAAGCATCTGGACCTCGACGAGAGCTGGGAGGTGGACCTCCAAATGGCAGCGGAGGTACCTTTGTTTCCATCACAATGAACCAACTCTTAGACCGCCTAAGGTTGTGGCGGTTGTGGTTTGCGAGGTGGAGCTGGTGGTAGCCATCGGAGGTTGCAACGAAATCGAAAAATCATCAGTAGCAACAGAAGGAACCTCGTAATCGAATAGCTCTTGGATCGCCATTGATACAACAGTTGAACAGACTCACAGTCTCAATCTCAGGTGAAAGAGACGGAGTGATGGTCGGTTCTCCTCGTGCTCAGTTGAACAGTAGTTGTATCAATGGCGATGGCCGGTGATACAACAATAGTTGTATTAAAGAGACGAGTGGATGAGCACGACCCTCGCAGTCTCAATCTCAGGTTAAAGACTCACCATTGATACAACAGTTGAACAGACTACTTGGCAATGGCTGGTGACTCGAAAGAGGGGGTGGACGTGAGGAAGAGGAAGATAACAAGAAATTGGGTTCAACGAAGAGGAAGAGGAGAGGAATTTTGTCGATGTTGCTATTGATAAAGCAGTTGACCAGTGAGATGATGAGCGTGTTTCAGGATGGGTAAAATGGTCTGCATATTTTTGTGAAGGTTAGTTTTGGTATTTTGAAAATATTTAATATCATCTAATTCTTCTAACTGATGATGAATTAACGTCGAGTATTAATTTATCCATAAAATGAAAATTCAAATATTAGATTGTTGCATTTTAAAGTTCGAATACTAAATTGGCACTTGGCCTAAAATAGAGGATACCTATCAGGAATTTTCCCTAATATAATAATTAAACAGTAAAGGTACAATTTACCGATTAACTAAACAGAGGCCTAGTTTAAGAAATTTGCCTTATTAGCAATGACACGACAGAAGGTAAGTTTGTAACGAATTGACGATGGGTATTTAAGAGAAATTAAAAACAGTGAAGAGTTTTAGATTTTTATTTGGGTATTTTGTGATAAGCCCACCTCACATATAAGTAACCCCTCCCAAAGTTGTTGGTAGCGGCCAGCGGGATTCGAATCCCCTATCTCAGCTTTGGCCTTCCGGGTTTTTCATCAAACATACTTCTAGGCTTTTATGTGGGACTCATCTTGAAGGCCAAAGGCCGCTGTGCGAAAGCCCTCCCAGGTCCCAAACGGGCACTTACTACTCCTCCTGTTGTGTAGCCCCATGAAGCGAAAAGAAAAGTCCTCTCAGGTCCCAAACGGGCACTTACTACTTCTAGTTGGCTAGTTTTTGTTTCCCTCGGGAGATCAGCTAGTCATCGTCGATCAACTCGTTTGAATTTCCCCCGCATTATCTTCTTCCGAAGCCACTAAAATCCGGCTTTGCATCCAACTGACAGAGAAGAAGAAGGAATCTTTTGACACAGAAGTTTCCATCAATGGCTTCGGATTCAGCTGAAGCCATGAAACCATACAAGCTAAGACAAACCCTAACAGGACACAAGCGCGCCATCTCGAGCGTCAAATTCTCCGAAGACGGCAAGCTCCTGGGCAGTTCATCGGCTGATAAGACTATTCGTCTATGGCGTCCTTCCGACGGCTCTTTCATTCAAGAGTTCGAAGGCCACGAACAAGGCATCTCCGATTTTGCTTTCTCTTCTGATTCCCGTTATGTTTGCTCGGCTTCCGATGACAAGACCGTGCGTATATGGGACGTCCAAACCTGTTCACTCGTTAAGACTCTTAATGGTCACACCAACTATGTTTTCTGCGTGAACTACAATCCCCAGTCGAATATGATTGTTTCGGGTTCGTTCGATGAGACGGTTAGAATATGGGATGTGAAGACGGGGAAGTGTTTGAAGGTCTTGCCTGCTCACTCGGACCCTGTTACAGCCGTTAATTTTAACCGAGATGGGTCCTTGATCGTTTCAAGTAGTTATGATGGTTTGTGTAGGATTTGGGACGCATCTACGGGGCACTGTATGAAGACTCTCATTGATGATGAGAATCCGCCGGTTTCCTTTGTGAAGTTCTCACCTAATGGGAAGTTTATTCTGGCTGGGACGTTGGATAATACATTGGTATGTCGACACTGCTTTAGCTGCTTACGGAAAGGGATTCCTTTTTTTTTCCCAAAAATATTTCCTTTATGATTGCTGTTGTTGTTGTTATTGTTTTTGTTATTGTTATTGTTATTGTTATTGTTATTCAATGTATACAAAGTGGTTTGCGACTAACAGAGCACTGCTTTATCAACATACTTCTTGTTTCGCAGTTGCTATTGGATCCCTGTTTCTGAATTAATTCTTGACAATTTTTTGTTTAAATTACGTATTCTGAAAGACAAAAACTCTTATTACTGTAGTATTTTTTTTAATATTTTGATAATTTGTGACACCAATCGATTCTGTGAAGCTATGGTACTGCCTGCAAGTAACTTGTTCAGTTCACCTATGAGTAGTATGCTTGCTTCTCTTAGATTATTTCTTGCATGTTTGTATGGGATTTTGCATATTGTGCCTCTTAGTTTTTTTAGTCCTTTAAATATATTCATTCCAAAGGAGCGGGTATGTTTAATACGAGAGGAAATCTTCATATGCGTTTTGTTGTCTTAGAGGAAGACCTATGGTGTATGTTGTTTGAAGATGACATAGCTTTGGTTAATAGGACTAAAGATTGATTGAATTCAGTTCAGGATATATGCTTTAAAGTGTAAGGTTTAGAATAGAATTAAGTTAAGTAAACAGAAAATCTGGAAAGTAATTCTAATAGTGTTATCAATGTGGTTCATGATGACTAGTCATTTTGGCCTCACTAGTTAATGCAATGACTAGTCAATGTTTAGGCACTGACCGGTTTATAAAAAAACTTATCTTCAAAATTTCAGATATTAATGCAGTCTCATAAGTAAATTATAAATATAGACTACAATTATGAAAGAAAGGAATGGTATTGATCATTAAGTTTACAATCTTTGTTTTGCAAACAAAGAAAAAGTTAAGCTGGATAGGCTAGGATAGGGAATCACAGCCTTTGTTTCCAAATAAAGAGTGCAACCTTGACTAGTTGACTATCCAATGTGCCATTTGTCTGTGGAAACTCTATACCAATATACCACTGTTTGGAAGAAAACTTAAAAAGAACTCCTCCACTGCCTTCTTTTATTTTATTCTTTTTTCTATTTTATATACCATCATCCAATATTTGAATGAACAATTTGGGAATGGGTCTTCTCCCTTTTTGGGTGTAGGTGGAATCCCCCATTGAATGTGCAAAGTTTATTTTCTTCCTCATTTTTTAGGTGGCATTTGAAAAGAGGTAGGATTATGTGGAGATGCTTAAGGGCTGCTGTATGTTGGTCCTTGTGGGGAGAACGAAACTCAAGAATCTTCTCAGACAGGGAGAGGAGCATTGAAAATGTAATAGAACTGATCCACTTAAAGGTGGCACAATGGTTAAAGTCCTCAGATTTGTTCACTGATTTCACTCTGGATGACTTGCTGAGAAAGTGGGAAGAGATTGCTAGCTCTGCCCAGGTTAGAACTGGGCTAAGTCCTTCTTGGACCCCTCTCCCTACTGGTTATATAAAGCTGAACTTTGATGGCAGTAGTAGAGGGAACCCAGGGCAATCTGGCATTGGGGGTGTATTCAGGGATGAGAATGGGATTGTATCAACCATGTTCTCAGGCCCAATTGGTGATTCCCTCAGGGCTGAGATTCTTACGGCATTGGAAGGAGTTCGAAGGGCAAAAGAATTGAATATAAGGAGGCTTATAGTTGAAAGTGATTTGGAGGTGGTAGTAGGGTAGCTAAAAGAAGATAAGACTGGGTTGTGGGGCTACAACAATGAAAAGAAAATTTCAAGTGGCTGGCTAAGGATATGGGAGTAAAGTACAGTTGGGTGAAGAGATCTGCTAATTCATTTGTTGGTGGCTTAGCCAAGCAAAAGGTGATTCAGGAATCTCTGTTCTGGGCTCTTTTGTAATTTTGTTTTCTTTTTTGGGGGATCTAGCTTCTGTTCGGGGAGAGATAGTTTACCTCCCCCTGCTTGTAATTATTCTTTATAACTGATTAATGAAAGTTCTTGTTATTGATATAAAAAATTATTGTTCCATCACAAATATTTAAAGCAACAACATGAATATAACAAAATGCAAATATGTTCTTTATTACTACTATTTCTAATAATTACAGATACAAACAAACAAATAAAGCTTTGTAGTTAACTAGGTTGACTAGTCAACCTTGCAGATGCTTAGTTGTCCTAGATGACCACATAATGAGTATTGACTGACTAGTTAGTGATGCAGTCAGTCTGGTCCTCAACACTTTCATAGGACTGTTATAATAAACATGGGGGTAGAAATAAGTCTGAAAGGATGTGCCTCTAAATCAGGTTATCCAATGGACCTGCAACCTTCTTAGTATCTCAGTGGCCAATCCAGTGTGATCATGTAACTCATGTACCTTGGATGGATGTTAGTGATGTGGTTCATGTACATTGGATGCATCAAATGGATAATTCCTCAGAGCTCCCCCTATTTGTCCCCAAAACCTCTGATATTGTAATACCGGTAGACCTTGGAACCCATTGAATTGTAGCTCTTAAGTCCTTCATGGTGTCCTTTACCTCCCTTATGATATGCCTATATCTCCTTGGACTCCCTTGATTCCTTTTCACCAATTCACCCGTCCTGTTACCACTCGAGAATTACCTTCTTTGATGAAATAGCTCTAATTCATAGTCTTAGCCCTTTTACTTCTAACACAGCTCACAATTCTGCTCTGACCAAGCCTCCATTTCCTGTTGGGCTGGAATACAATGCTAGTATATGCCCTACTTTGCCCCTAAAAACACCCTCTACACCAAAATGTCCCAGATTACCAAGGCAACAACCATCAAAAGTCATTTTAATGAATCCTGTAGGTGGTTTTCTCCCTTGTACTGCTGTAATAGCTCTCAATAGTTGAATATTCCGCCATCATTCTCCAATTTCTTAAAATATCAGCATTCATAAAAAAATCTTAAAATATTATCATTCGTAAAAAAAAAACTTAAAATATCATCAATTGTGAAAGGTCTAAACTCATCCCTTGATTTAGCCTGGATTTTTTTTTTGATCAGTAAACAAGTATTTTATTTAAAAATAAGGTTAAGACAAATTTGTACAACTTGGTGATGGGAATGTTGTTCCCAATTTAGTACACTTTTCTGTCCCAATTTACAGTGCAGCCCAAAATAATTGTTGCCTCAGTGCCCCTTGATTTAGCCTGGATTACCAAGGCAGCAACCATCAAAGTTCATCTTAATAAACTTGTAGGTGGTTTGTTTCATTGTGCTGCTGATAATAGTTCTCATAGTTGAAGAGTCAACCACCATTCTCCAATTTCTTAAAATATCATCAATTGTGAAGGATCTAAACTCACCCCTTGATTTAGCTCAATGTGCCAACTTGATTGATATATATTTTCAATTATCTCCTCTACATACACCCCTTGCCATTTTTATTGATACTTCTTGCATTTCTTTCCTCCCACATACACTATAACGTTGCAGCCTCAAGTTCAAAATATTGACATGATACACCCAATACGGGTATCATATTTGTATTTGAAAGCTCAGCATGTGGCAGGGGTGGAATGACATGATGCTGTTCAGGGCCTATGGCATTGGTTATGAATGCCACTAAAAGTTATAGTGGCAGTCATAACTGTCACTAAAAGTTTACTGCCAGCATAGGTTCGCAGATCTTCAATATTCATCTAAACTTTTTGACAGTTTTTACAGGCCGTCAGCTGTCTTGACAATTTAGACCACCAACATTTATCCAATTATACATGTAGAAATAGTGGGCCAGTTGGGCCATAATCTTTTTATGTTTTGTTCATTAGTTTCTTGAGTTAATGGGCCTTAGTTCCTTTTTTTTATTTTTTAAAGAAAGATAACTTTGTATTAAACACAAGAAAAAGGAAGGGTGTACATTAGAGGATGTACAAGCCTCAAAGACAAAAAGGAGGCAATATTAGTTAGGCAATATATTCACACTATACAAAAAATCCCTTCCCAAACCCAACTTTGCTAAACAGCTAAACCGTCAGCCAAAAAGTGTAAGAAGCTGGACAGTCTCCAAGAGCCCGGACCCTGCTCTTTATTGATAGCATTTCTAGAATCATCTTCCATAATCCATTGTAAGTGAACTGAAATGGAGGACCTTTGCAAATCTTAAACCTTGAAGGAGGGCACAAACTTCAGCTTCCGAGGCATCCTCAGCTGTAATTGGGCCACTAGAGGCCCAGCAAATATCCCCCTAGAACTGTAGAATATCCCACCAATACCAGCAGCCGACTGAGAGGAAGAATTTTTCTTGAAGCTACCATCAAAATGAAGGATAAAATTGCTAGCCTGTCTGGGTGGAAGAGTGTATGAGGGGAGATCAGCAGGTGGGGGGGGGGAGGTAAATAAATTGTCCTGCCAGGATCTACTCAGGTTGCCAAACTTACACCTTCAAAGGTCTTATGCGTATTCATGCAAGAAAACAGCAAAGACAACGCCCTGTTTTTGAGAGCATCCCAAGGAGAAGATTTGTTATCAAACACTCTTCTATTTCTCTCTTCTCCAATGTTCTACAAGATCGCATGTGTTATAGGCTTATAGCCTTCGAAAAGATCTTACCCCTCTCACCCATACCATAACAAATCCATTGATTGAGGAGATCACCAATAGTGTTTTGGGAACCTAGCTGTAACTTGCCCCGAGAGTAGAGTCCAGGAAGAACTGCCATGATCTTCTTGCTGCTTGATAGTTGATGAGTTGATGTCCAATGGATTCCCCATCACTTGCACAAGGAGCAGACATGGGGAGAGAGAACCCCCTCCCCTCTCTCTTTCTTGGAGAATGTTGAAAGTATTCAGTCTTCCCCAAGCCACTTTCTAAACGAGGAAAGAGGCCCTTGGGGGAACTGAAGAGAGCCAAACCTTTCTAGCCTGAAAAGGAGGAGTCGAGGAACTGGAGGTGGCAACAAGCTGATGAAAAAAAGACTTAGTAGTGAAATTGACATTGGGGGTTAAGGACCAGATTAGGGAATCAGGGATTGAGTTTGAAATGATGACCTTTGAGAGCTGTGAGAGGAGAGAAGAGAGCTCTTCAATCTTAGAATCTTTCAGGGCTCTTCTAAAGTTGAGGTTGAAGTTGTAGGAAAGGCTTATATTGTCTTGGAGCACTGTTGAGGAAACTAGGGTGTTTTTATCTTGGACTAACCAATAGAGGGAGGTGGAAGCCTCCATGAGGGGTCTATTTCCCCACCACAAGTCTGTCCAGAACTTGATAGTTTCACCGATACCTAGTTTGAATATGAGAAAAGGGAGAAAGGACAAGGGAGTGGAGAATGCCTTTCCAAGGATTGACTGTAGAAAACTCAGGTAGAAGTTGGTTGCTGCCCCCTCCAAGGCTTCTCCGACCATACTTGTTGGAGATGATTGAAGCCCAAAGGGAGTTTTGGTCTTTTTTTAGAGAGATAGAGAGGGAGGGGAAGTCCCAACTCCCATGTAGGTGATTGGCTAGGACTCAATTCTACAACCCAAAGCTTCCTTCAGCACATTCAGCACTTCAGTGGAGGTGTTTATACCAAAGATGGTGCTCTTATCAAGGTTTGTCTTCAGCCCAGTTACTGCTTCAAAGCATTTAAAGATCCTTTTAAGATTTTGGACAACATAAACATTCTCTTCTAAAAAAATGGTGTCATCAGCATATTGAAGGTAAGAGATATGAATAGTCTCTTCCAACCATAAACCCCTGGTGAGATCCAACTCTTTGGCTTTTTGCATAAAATAATCCAAAATATCGGCTAGTAAAGTAAGAGGAGGGGGGAGAGAAGGCAATCTTGTCTCAGTCCTCTAGAGGCTTTGAAGAAATCCTGAGGGGAGCCATTAATGAGGATAGAGAACCTATCCTATTTGATGCATCCTTTCATCAATTTGATCCAAGTTTCACCAAATCCCTTCAACTCAAGAATCCTTCACAAATAATTCCAATCAACTTTGTCATAGGTTCTCCAAATCAATTTTACAAACTACTTCGCTTTGACTTCTCTTTTTCCCATCTTCCACCACTTCATTAGCAATGAACACACTGTCCACAATTTGTCTTCCTTGGATAGAGACACTTTGAGAAGGGCCCACCACTTCATCAATCACCTTTTTTAATCTATTGGCAAGGACTTTCGGAATTATCTTGTAAAGGATTCCAAGGAGCTAATAGGCCAGAAGTCTTCGACTTCTAAAGATCCAGTCTTTTTGGGAATAAGCTTGATGAAGGTACAATTTGTTCCCTTATTGATTTTTGCCAATTTGAAAAAGTCATTAAACACTTGCAATAGGTTCCCCTTTACCAGGTCCCAACATTCATGATAAAAGGCCAAGGAAAAGCTGTCCAGCCCCGGGGCTTTATCTTCATCTAAAGAAAAAACATCTTCTTTGATTTCTTTTTCACTGAAATGCCTTTCCAGCCAGCATTTACTAACACGAGAGAGTCTGGGTCTATTCCAAACCAACAGATTTGGTCTCCAAACCCTATCCTTGGAATAAAGGCCTTTGAAGTAATTAACAACCTCTTCTTTGATTTGAAATGGGTTATCCAACAACTGATCTTCCACTTTAAAACTTAGGATAAGATTTTTCTTTTTTTATTATTTCTTAGGATAAGATTTTTCCTTCTTCTCCCATTTGCATACTTGTGGAATTAACAGGTATTTCCATCTCCTTCCTTGATCCAAAGCACTCTGGCCCTCTGCTTCCGAAAGATTTCCTCTTTGTGGTGATGGTCTCCTGCACTTTACCTCTCTTTTCCCAATTCTCCCTATCAAGCAGGCCTTTAGCTTCTTTCTCATCAAGAAGAATAAGCTTTTTCCAGATTCTCTCTTTTCCTTAGGGATAGGATTGAAAATTTCTTTACTCCAAGTCCAAGCCTTTAATTTAGATTTCACATATTGAAGCTTCTTTGAATACTTACAATCAGCCCAACCATCCACCTCATACTCCTACCGCTTAATAACTTCTGAGTTGAAGTTCGGATGTAGGATCCAAAAGTTTTCAAATCTGAAAGGTCTACTCATTTGAACTGAGTCAGTGTTTAGAATCATAGGCCAGTAGTCCGAGGTACTCCAATGCCCAGTAACTTGAGCCAGCTTTGGAAATTAGTCTTACCAATCTAGGGAAATGAGAAATCTATCAAGACAACAACTGATTGGGCTTGACTAAAGATTTGACCAAGTGAAGTAAGCATTTTGCAGAGGAGGGTCTATTGAGGGAAAACTCTTGAATGAAGGTAGATAAAGCTCTCATTACTTTTGGTTCGCCTACCACCGTTGGATTTCTCGTGGGGGAATCTGGTCACATTAAAATCTCCAATCACACCCCAAGGCAATTGACTATAGAAACCAATTGAGCTTAATTCCTCCCAAAACAACTTCCTATCTCTTTGATTGTTTGGGCCATAAACTCTTGTTAAAATCCAATTAAAATCATCTGAGAGGGAAGAAAAGAGGATGGAGATTGAAAACTGTCCTCTATCGATTTCCAATCTCGACAAAGAGCTTTCACCTCAAATGATAACATGCACTCCTGAGGCACCAATGGAAGCAATCCAAGTCCGTTTTTTATTTTCACCTCCCAAATTTCTCTAATCAGCTTCCTGCTAAAGCTTTCGTTTTTGGTTTCCTGTAAAATCACCACATCTGGATTTTCTCTAAGAAGAGTCTCTTTTACCAATCTTTTTTTCTGCTCTCTGCCTAGCCCTTGAATGTTCCAAGTTAGGATCTTCATTAGGCATAAGAAAAGCTTCTCCCATATGATCTTTTTCCTTCCCCTTTGATTAGCACTATCTTCCTAGTTCCTTCTATCTCAATTACTATGCAATTTCCGACTGACCTCAGATGTAAACTGCCACCTTCTTCTCCTAAGAAACTGCCTAACATCCAGAAATTGCGTTTCCCATCTTGTAAGGATATCCAGAGGCTTTTTGCCATCTTATTTGTCTCATTGCTAGAATCACCATCCATTCTTTATGTTTATTGACAATTGCCTCATTAAGGGCTATCTTGTAATTGGCCTATTAGTTTCTAATTGTGATTAATAAAAGTGATTAGGGGCTGGAATAAGATGCACATTTGACTCTTCTCCTTCTCTCTCCTCTTTTCTCTTCTTCTCTCTTCCTTTTGCACCGATTTTCCTCTCCTTTTTTCTGCTTTTCTTTGACTAAATAAAGAACCTATTGCTAGTTGTTTTTCATCTTGGTATCAGAGTGGTGCAACTATTCTTTTCTTTTTTCATTTTAATCCCATACACAATGTGCATGGAGAACTGAATGGTTGATTGATTAAAGAAGATATTGAGTCCAGTTGGTAGAGGATTCTGAGAGAAAAGGGGCAATCAGATTATTGTTCAAGGCAGTTCTTGGAGTTTTTGCACGAAACCCTAGCTAACTGGAGATTTTGAGTGAAGGGTCCCAAAGGGGGTTCTAACTTGGCACTTAAGGCTTGAAGGATTTCCTTTTGATTCTTATAAAGATTGATCCAAGTAGAATTGGATTCTGGAGATACTACAAGGAGTGGCCGGAATTTTTTGTTTTCTCCTATGTTGCTGGATGTAGTGCAACCGTAGTTTGATCCAAGTAGAATTAGATTCTGAGATACTACAAGGAGTGGCTGGAATTTTTTGTTTTCTCCCATGTTGCTGGATGCGGTGCAACCATAGTTTGGGTATCCTATTAAGGTCAGTATCAGTTATTATCATTTTTAGTCATCCTTATTTGGTATTTGAAAATTGTTCATTGAAGTTTTGGAAGTAATGGAGCACTCTGAAGTAGAGATCAAGCAAAGCTCAAAGTTGATAGATTCTGAGAGCTTCTGTAGATCCTCTACTGGCCGTGACCACAATGAAGCTTGATGGAACCAATTATTTGGCTTGGTCACAGTCAATGAGAATATATGTTTGTAGTATTTGTAGTAGAGGAAATTGGGGATATATCTCTAGTAATAAAGCCTAAGGAGGATGATCCTTCCAACGAGAAATGGATGGAAGAAAACTATACTGTCATTGGTTGGTTGGTGAACTTAATGCAACCTTTCTCAGGCTTATTCTATGGTGAGTAGGGAGGAAAGCAGAAGGTGGGTTTAGGTTCAAGGGTTAGTTCTAGTTGACCACTTTGCAAATGTAGGGATGAAATCTAAGGCAACTAAGGAAAAGAAAGATGTTATATGTGAGTATTAGAAAAAGATAAAGTATACGAAGGATACTTGCTAGAAGTTACACCCACACCTTTTGCTAGCTTGGTTTAGAAATTGTAATAACAGTAAGAAAGTTGGAAATGGAAAGACTGGGAATGCAAATGCTACCATGGTTGCGAATGGTGACAAGGGTTGTAAACTTGTAACGAGGAGAATACTACTATTGAGTAGTTGACAGTAGTAAAAGTCGAATTTGAGAAGTATGGGAGGATGATTAATCACCTTGAAAGCATAGTTGCAACAATTTCTAATCATTTAGGCCATTCACCTTCCTCTACTTTTGCACATTAAGATATACGGGCTACTACCAACAATGCAACTACCTCAAACAATCGTAGAATCCCTTGGGGTTATAGATTCTAAAGCTTCTGATCATATGACTAGTGTTTCTACTTTGTTCAATTCCTATAACTTGCTTTTTGGTCGTGATAAAATAACCCTGGATGATGGCTTCCTTGCTCCTATTTTTGGCAAGGGAGACATCGAGACCACAAATACCCTTACAATTACCTTTGTCCTTCATGTCCCTAAACTCCACACTGACCTTTTGTTTGTAAGCTTGGCTAAATCATTAAACTATTGTATAACCTTTTCTCCTTGTTGCATTTTTAAGGATCTGCAGTCTTTTAAGGTGATTTGGAGTGGCCACGAGGCAAATGGAATATATCTGCTAGATTTTCCTAAGCAAAGGCAAGGACAACCACTAAAAGTTGCTTTTGGATTCTTCCTCGTTAGAGTCCATTAGTTGTATTATGTTATGTCATTTTTGGCTAGGTCACTTATCTTTTTCAACTTTGAGTCATTTATTTCCAGAATTGTTTAAAGGAGTTAGTTTGTTAAGTCTGCATTGTGAGTCATGCAAATTTTCAAAGCATTGTAGAAACACTATCCTTTGTGGGGGTCTTATCATTTACCTTCCATGGGTAGCTATCAATATATATTTTTTTTGTTCATCGATGATTTTTTCTAGTACACTTGGATATATCTGATGCACTTGCGTGATGAATTCCCAAAGATTGTGAACAATTTCCTAAGTTTATTGTTACTCAATTTGATACTTGTATCAAAATATTCTAGTTAGATAATGCAAATGAATATTTTGGAAAGAGTCTTGCTTCTTATCTTGATGATTTTGGGGTTATTCACCAAAGTTCTTTTTGTACGCACTCCACAACAAAATGAAGTTATTGAATGGAAAAATTGTAATATTGTTGAAATAGTCAGAAGCATTTTATTTTCCTCATATATATATATATATTCTTTTTTGGTGGGGGGAGGATGTTGTTACTACAAAAACTTGTCAATCTATGCCATAGTCTTGGTTTCAAGTCTTCCTTTATCCTACTTTTTCACAACAAAGACCTTTTCCCCCTTCCTCTTTGCGTCTTTGGTTGCACTTGCTATGTCCATATTCTAGTTCTTCAAGACAAATTCAGACCAAAGACCTGCAAATGTATTTTTCTTGGTTATGATAGAAGAGTTACTATTGGTTTGATATGGTTAGTGGCACTCGTTTTGTCTCTATGGATGTTACTTTTGCGGAGTCTGTTCTCTTTTATGGTCTTTCTCCTAAGGGGAAGTATTCATTTGAGTTCTTTGATCTCCTTCCTATTCTTATTGAGTCTAGTGGTGAACCTCTTATTGAGTCACTTCATTGTGTCTCCTTTTGTTGAGTCATCTCCTAACTCTTCTCTTCCAGTTCCTCCATAGCTGCCTCCACATCCTCCCTCATTTGTTACTCCACCTGTCCTTCAGAGGTGGTACTAGTGGCAAAGGCTCAAGAATGAATAGGTTGTTTTTTACTCCAATAGTTAAGCCTCCTACACTTCTAGTTGCTGAAGAGACAAGTGTTGAGGCCATGCCTTTGCAATCCCCTTTCCCTAACCTAGATATACCCATTGCCATAAGAAAAGGTAAAAAGAAAGTGTGTTGCACATTGCATTTCAAAGCACCACTCTTATGGACTGCTCTCCTATCATATTATTCCTTCTTAGTCTTTGTTTCTTCTTGCCTATCCCAAACTCTGTATCAAAAGCACTATCAAAAACCAAAACGAAGGGATGCTATGAGAACTGAGATAGAGGCATTGTATTAGAATGACACTTGGGATGTGGTTGATTTGCTTGAAGGGAAGGAGTCCATTGGGTGCAAATGGTTTTATACCATAAAATATCATGCATATGGTTCTATTGAAAGGTTCAAAACTTGGTTGGTTGCCAAGGGGTATGCACAGGCATATGGGATAGGTTACTTGGAGACATTTGCCCCTGTTGCTGAGATGATTTTTGTGAGAGTTTTATTATCCTTGGCAGCTAATTTTGATTGGTTGCTCTATTAGATTGATGTAAAGAATACTTTTTTGAATGGGGACTTGCATGAAGAAGTGTATATGTCTCTTCCTCCTAGGGTATGTGGAAAAGAAATGCAAGGTGAGGTATGTAAATTGAATAAATCACTCTATAGCCTTAAGCAATCCCCTAGATCCTAGTTTGAAAGATTTAGAGCTGCCCTTGTTCACTTTGGATATACATAGACACAGTTAGATCATACTCTCTTTGTGAAGAGGAGAGGTGCATTGTTTACCTTATTGATTGTCTATGTGGATGACATTTTAATTACTAGTGGTGATATGCAAGAGGTTGATAACCTTAAGAAATTCCTTAATGCTGATTTTGAAATAAAAGATTTGGGGGAATTGAGGTATTTCTTGGGGATTGAAGTTTCTAGATCTAAAGATGGCATCTTCATCTTCCAATGTAAGTATGTGCTTGACTTGCTTACTAAAATAGGCAAACTTGGGGTAAAACCACCTACCACATCTGTTGATTTGAACCAAAAGCTCTTAGCTTCTACGGAGAGTTACTTGAGGATAGGGAAGTGTTCTAGAGTTTGCCTGGGAAGTTGTATGTATGCATGACTCGCCCTAA